CAGCATTTAGGCCATTTATGTTGAGAGCGATTATTGAAAGATATGAATTTATTATCATCATGTTGCCTGTGAAGTCCTTTTTTCTATAGATTGTCACTGTAAATTTCTTTTTTAAGATTTTATTTATTTATTTAATGGACAGAGAGAGAGAGACAGCAAGAGAGGGAACACAAGCAGGGGGGAGTGGGAGAGGGAGAAGCAGGCTTCCTGCCGGGCAGGGAGCCCATTGCAGGCCTCGTTCCCAGGACCCTAGAATCGTGACCTGAGCCGAAGGCAGTCACTTAACCAACTGAGCCACCCAGGCGCCCCGAGTCCCTGTAAATTTGTGTTCTACAGCATTCTTGGGGTCTTTCTCCTCTTGTAGAGCCCCCCTTAATATTTCTCGCAGGGCCGGCTTAGTGGTCACACATTCTTTCAGTTTCTGCCAGTCGTGGAAGCTCTGCATCTCTCCATCCATTCTAAACGACAACCTTGCCAGATAAAGTATTCTTGGCTTCATGTTCTTCTCATTCAGTACCCTGATTATGTCTTGCGAGCCCTTTCTGGCTTGCCAGGGCTCTGTGGATAGGTCTGACGTTATTCTGATATTCCTCCCTCTGTACATAAGGAATCTCTTCCCCCAAACTGCCCTTAAGATGGTTTCCCTGGTTCTAAGATTTGCGAGTTTTACTATTATATGCCGGGGCATTGGCCTGTTTTCCTTGATCTTGGGAGGGGTCCCCTCTGCCTCTAGGACATGAATGTTTGTTTCATTCCCCAGATTAGGGAAGTTCTCAGCTACGATTTGCTCAAATATATCTTCTAGTCCTCTCTCTCTCTCTCTCCATCCCCTCAGGGATCCCAATAATTCTGACATTGGAACGTTTCATGGCGTCACTTATCTCTCTAATTCTGTTTTCATGGATTTTGAGTTGTTTCTCCGTGGCCTCCTCTTTTTCCCTCTTTTCTATCAATTGGTCTTCTAGATCACTAATTCGTTCTTCTGCCTCGATTACCATAGCTGTTAGATTATCTAGATTAGATTGGATCTCATTGATAGCATTTTTAAATTCTGCCAGTTCAGCTTTCATTTCTGCCCTTAGAGAGTCTATATTGCCATTAATCAATTTCTCCATTCTAGCTATTGTCTTCATAACTGTTACCCTGAAGTCCATTTCTGACACCTTGGTTATATCTGGATCCATTTGTAAATCTGTGGCAGAAGTCACAGTCTCTGGGTCTTTCCTATTTTGGGGGTTCCTTCTCCTAGTCATTCTGTTGAGGGGTGGTTGAGGGAATGTACAGAGTCCGAATTATTGACCATCAACCCAAGCAAGATGCACCTGTTTTATAGGAACCTTAGGGGTGTCGGGCTCTTGTTCTCCCAACCTGTCTTCTGGAGGAGGGGCCTGCCACACTGTTACTCAGGCAACCCTGTTTGGGCAGAGTTGCCCTGCCCACTGTGGGGGGGAGGGGCTCAGTGAAAACCGGTTTGGGGGCACTTTTGTTCTCTGGAAGCTTTCCATGTCTCTTCCCAGAGTCGGAGCAGAAGAGATCGTTTCCAACCCTCTGCCTCAGAGCAGAGAGATCACAGTCTGTTCTTCAGTGAGCTCTCCAGGCCACACTAGCTCCATTTCTGTCTGTGCTGCTATAAACTGCAGTGTCCTGGGTTGCGTGCCCCTCAGCAGCACTCCCAGTCCTCGCCTCCAGGTCGGGGCACGTCTCTGCCCTTTGTGCTTCTAAGACCGCCAGGCCACCCCAGTTCCTGTGCGGGTGGCCCTGCTGCTCCGGGTTTCAGTCCAGTGGGCTGCCCTAAAGTCCTTTCCCCGTTGCTACCGGTCTTCGAGTCTGTGCCCCATCCCGAGCGCGGGAGGCTCTCGCTCACCGGTGGTGTAGGATCCCCACGGCCGAGCTCCCTCCCCCTGCTGTTTATCCTCTGCTATCTGCCCACGGGATCACGGCTCCCCGCTTCCTACCTCAAAACCCACCGCCTGCGATATTCTGTTTGTAGAGATCCAGATCTATCTTCTTACATCTCAGGCTGATTTCGTGGGTGTTCAGGGTGGTCTGGTAGATATCCAGCTCAATTCCGGGGACCAGTTGGAATAGGGTCCCCTACTCCTCCGCCATCTTTTCCTCCCCCGAACACTGTGTTTAAACACACAGAAGGTGTCATGAGGATAAGGCACTCAGTCCATTCTGTGTGATGAGGACCTCGGGAGTGAAGAAAAACTGAAGAAGAGAACATCCCATCAAGGAGACCCACACGCTAGTGGCAGGGGTTGCGGGGAAGGGTAGCAAACTCCCTGGTACTAGAGAAGACCGCCAAGAAACTGAAAACCTGTCAGTGAGAAAGTCCCCACCAGTCAGTCTAATGTCCGCCTTTTTACACAAGCACTTATATGTCTCAGGAATTTCCTATCCACTATCTCTTTTAACCCAAACAAGGAGGTAATAGCTACTCACTCTTTATACCCACTTTCCAGGTAATAAAACTAAGGCTCAGCTTCCTTGTGCTTTCTTACAAGAAGGGGTCCACTGTCCTCTTCAATATGGACCTCTGGGAAGGCTTGCATTTATGCCCGATTCATGATGCTTTGACTCTTTTGTGTGTGTGTGTGTGTGTGTGTGTGTGTGTGTGTGTGTGTGGCATCTTCAGGGACAAATTTCTAGCCCCAGAAGGGAGATCCTAGATCAGAAAAAAGTCAAGTCCACCCCCAAGATCTTAGTACAAACCTAACACTTAGGAACATAGAATATTACTTTCAGGGCAATGAGGAGAGATCATCAAATCTAATCCCTCTGGATTGATGGAGCAAGCCACTTGGGACCAGAGAGGGGCAGGGAATTATCCAATGTCTCACAGTAAGGCAATGGCAGCTCTCAATTCCCCAGGCCAGCGTTCCATTGGAGAGCAAGCTTGTCCCAGGCCCCAGACTTGGCTGGGGAGAGTCTGCTGTTTCTCCTTCTGCTCTAGGGTTAGGAACAGTCAGTGTCCCAGTGCAGATGTTTCAGATGAAAAGATTTGCATGCAGAAGGGTAGGCAGAGTTAAGGAATCAAATAAGGTTTGAAGTGGCAGCCAGAGACTAGCAACAGTGGCTGGAAAAAACCATCCCCTAGGCTGAACGAAGGTGAAGAAATAGCATTGCTGGAGCCTGGTGGGGAGGCAGCTACTGAAGGAGGCTTCCACAGGAAAAAGTGTGGTCGGAGGTGTGTTCCAGGAAGATCTCCCCCTCTGTGTATGTGCAGTGGCTCTGAGCTGGTCTGGGGTGGGAAGGGGTCCAGAGTCTGGGTTGGCGATCAGGAAGAGGAAGTCAGAGGGAAGACCAGCACGATGGATGCTTCTTAGGCCTCAGGGGTCCTACATCCTGCCACAAACATGGCCCAGCACTCACAGCCTATTTATCACATACCCTGTTCTCTACTCTCTGGTTGAAATCTAGCAGCCATCCACACTTCTAGAGCCAAAGACAGGTCACCATGTGGCCAGAACCAGAGACTGGGCAGTAGCCAACTCCTGACTCTACCAGCTACCCCTGCAGCTATCTTGGCAATGTGATTCTTGGAAACCAAAACATGCCTCCTTGGAGCTTCTCCCCACTGGTCTGAGTTCTGCCCCCAAGGGCCCAGTAGAAAACTGTAGCTGTAAAGAACAACTTGGTGAGAACCCCCAATCCAGGAGCACACGTATTAAGGAGACGGAGATAACGAGACTCTGCCTGTATCCACATGCTTCCCAATAGCCCTCCCCTCCCCAACACCCACACCCTCCCTCCACCTCAGAAACGCCAGTTACAGCCAGTCTTCTAAATCTGCCAATCTAGCCTGCTGCTCTTCCCCGATGTCTTCACTTTCTCCCTTGCAGCAGCTGAGTGCTTGGCTTCTCCTGAAAACTTCCCATTCTGATGCAAGCAGGAAGCCCGAGCTTGTCTCTTCCCTCACTTTGCTTGGCTGAGCCAGGACAGACAAGACACAAACACTTGGTGAGCCCATGTTTGGGCACATCAGTGAGGGTTCTGCAGGTGTTATGTTTTGCAGAAGTTGAAAGAACACTGGCAATGTGCACCCACTGAATCCCCTGCTCCCACCTGCTCCATAAACATTCAAGGGAGGTTCTGTGTCAAGTCCTCTCTGCTTCCCCAGCACCAGCACAAAGGGCCACTTAATAAATACTTGTCTGTTGAATGGATACTGAAGGGATTGGCTGCTATTGCAGGGAATGTGGGGAGGAGATAGAAAAGGTTGACTGGCCAATGCAAAATATACGGGAAATGCCCTTCTGGTGCCCTTCTGGTTGATGCCGTTGACACCCCTGGTAGATGGGTAGATGAAACCCATCAGCTGCTGTTTGGTAGGGAGACCAAAACTCACCACCATCCTCCACCTGACCCCCCACCTCAATTTCCCAGGGATGTCAGGCCAACTGAGGGAGTGGTGAGTATGAAACCCTTGGTAGGGGACAGGTGAGATGAGATACCACTGAGGAAAAGAGTTGTGTCCAGACCCACTCATTCTCCATCTTGACCGCACATTGGAATCACCTGTTCAATCAGTCCAAAAGAAAGCAAGAGACACAAAGAAATACAGAAAAGGCGGGGAACGCCATCTTTTATAGAAATAGAACATAGAAAGCACAAAATAAAATGGAAAGAAGATGCTAGAACCCCATGGGGGAGGGCAGGGGAAGGGTCAATGCTGCACCTGATTCAGAGAGGGAGCCTGGGGAAGTCTGCAGATGCATACCAAGAGCACTTTCCTGACTTTGACCCCCTGACCCCCCGGGACCCAGGTGTCCTTCAGAAATACAATTTAAGTAAACACAAAGCACTTGTTATGCAAATGCAGAAAACCAGCGCTCTTGGTACTCTCTACTCCTCCCCCAAAACATACCACCCATTCCAGTGGAGGGTTTGGTGCAGATTAGATGCTAAGGTTTAATTTGCTGTTTAATTAAGAAAGAAGGTGTTCCAGTCAATTTAGTGGGCCTTTCCTGGGGCTTCTCCTAAGCCACAGGACAGGGCTGAGCCAATCTTAGGGGCTCATAAAAAGTATAAGAGGCTTGGGGGTGCCTGGCTGGCTCAGGCAGTGGAGCATGACTCTTGATTTTGGGATTATGAGTTTGAGCCCCACACTGACAGTAGAGATTACTTAAAAATAAAATCTTAAAAAACCCATTGCTCTACCCGATGGTTAGCCACAATTCAGTGTCATGGTGTTCCAAATTTCAGTGTATTCTAGTATTTGCCTCACTTTAGTAGGATGACTTTAGAATCTTTCAGATGGTTCCTTTTCAATCACCAGTAATGCTAAAAGATGTTTTTCTTTCTTCCCATATTGTCAGTCCAGCCCACTGCCTTTTGTACCTAATTCACTGATCACCACCTAGTGTATCAGTGATGTTTGCCTGTGTTTGGACTTCCTTTGGGTTCTTGTAAGCTTTCCAGTCATGTACAGGAATGGTTTGAACAAAGTTACACAACAATGCCTGTCCTCTCTATTTTTGCAATTCATCCAACAAAATGTTTACTTCCCATTAATATTCTCATAAGCATGACAACTTTTCCAGTTGGCAAAATTCTTTATGTGAATGGGAGTTGCATATCACAGTCCCAGAGTGTACATAGTGAACATTGGCAAGCAGCATAAAATTGAGGACAATCAACTGCTTTTGAGAGAAAACCCACTATTTTGTATATGACACTTTTGTATTGGCATTTAAAAAGTTTCCTGGTGTGTAAAACCTAAAGGCTTGAAATGGCTGTTCAGTGGGATGACTATTCTCCAGAGTGGCCTCTGTGAAATCCTCCAGTGCTGCTGAACGTGTCCTATAAATAGTAACTACAGTAAACTTTGTAAGTAGTTACTAGAAAAATGGTTTTTTCCAAATACAGAAATCTGTCAGTGCTTCACATACAGAGGGAATCCACTTTCACACAACATCTTAAGCAAATTATTCTTCAGATACTTGCTCCAGGATTTGTTTCTCCCTGGGATTGAGTCCTTCCTCCTAGATATTGGTGCAAGTCATGTTGCTACCAGTAGAGACAGGAGAGGGGTAGACAGCTCAATTCCTAGCTCAGAACTAATGGTTACTCATATTTTATTCCATTCAGGGTTTTTTTTTTTTTCAGTTCAATAAACATCATTCAATTATAAGACTGCCTATCCTCCGCTATGGGATGGCATACTGACCTTGCCTCCAGGAGTTGACAGTCAAGAAATAAATGTCTCCACTCAAAAGAGACATCATTCATTCATTCATTCATTCAGTCAGTCAGTCTTTCTTTCTTTCACTCACTCATTTACTAATTGACCCCACTGTTGGAAGCTCCATGTTCCTGGCACTGTCCTGGTCTGAAAAGTGATGTGTCCTTGAGTAAAATACTATGGTCATGTCAGGGTTCGGGAATGAAGAGGCACAGCCAACAGGGGTGGGGGGTGAGGGCAGGCTGGCATTGCCCTTAGGCTTGAGCATGTCTCTGGGATCTCCTCAGCAGGAGCTGAGCTGGGAGGAGGAGCTGAACAGGTGACAGGTGATTGAGCCAAAGACCCAGAGAGGACTTTGATGCCATCTGCAGCATGTGGACATGTCCTACCTGTGATGGAGGGCATGGGAGGCTCTGATCTGGGCTGGGGCTTCAGGAGAGGGAACGGAGGCAGGAGACAGAAAAGTCTGGATGAGGAGGTTGAGGGATGGCAGGCAGGGACATTTCTGCAGTAGAATTGGAAGGCTATAGCAACTGGTTGATTGAGGGGCTGAGGGGAGACAGGAGTCTGAACCCAACCTGGAAGGCAGGTGGTGCAACAGGCAGAGCATCACTAAGGTTCTGCCCCTGCTGAAAGCTTCCCTGTTGCCATTCTGACTTCCTGACCCAACCCTGTCTTGTCCTTTCTCTGAGGATCTGGATCCCTGTGTGCCCCAGATGGTTAGGGTCTGAAGTGTGGCCCAGCCCACCCGCTACAGTGCCCTGGCCTGGCCTCCACATTATGAAACCAGAAATTGCTTGTGCAGAGAGCAAACAACTTAATAATTAACTGTTTTAGTGATCACTTGACTTGGCCCCGAGGCTCAAGATGCTGACCCTCTTGTAACAGGATTTCAGGCCTACTGAGAGCAGAGGGAGGAGTAGGAGCTAATCCTAGAAGATTGTAGGCTTTGTCAAAGGTCAAGGGGAGAGTGTGAAAGAAGCAAGGCTGGGTAGGCGTAGAAATGTGTGTGTGTCCTGAGGAAAGGGGATCTGGGCTGGGCCCATGTAGGAGGGCCTGAATGTGGTGTTCCAGGCAGGGGGGTTGAGGCCACTCCTATTTCTTTTTCCCTCCCTGACCCAGGAACTGCATCGGGAAGCAGTTGGCCATGAACGAGATGAAGGTGGCAGTGGCCCTGACCCTGCTCCGCTTTGAGCTGGCACCAGATCCTCTCAAGGTCCCTGTTCCCACTCCAAGAATTGTGTTGATGTCCAAGAATGGGATCCACCTGCATCTCAGGAAGCTCCTCTAACCCTTGTGGGGACAAGGATGAGCTCCAAGGGCCTCCTGCCTGCCGTCCTGTCTTCCTGTCGGTCTCTCCTGTCTGCTGTCTTCTGCCCACTTCCTGCTTTCACTCTGCCCACCTGCCAGTCTCCCTGATCTCCTCCTCTTGTGCATCAGACTGTCTGCCCTTCTCTGTCTCCTCCTTTCCCAAGATTCCTACTTGTTTGCCTGTTACCTTTCTCCTACCCAGCTGTAGCTCTGACTGTCCATGTAAATCATGATCAGCTGCCTGTCCCCCAGGCTGTCTGCCCTCTCCCTGTTGTTCCTTTCTGCCTGCTTGTGTGTTCCTGTAATGTTTTCTCTTGCTGCTTTACCATATTACACAAACTTAGTTCCTTAAAAGAGCACAATTGATGATCTTGTACTTTAGGAAATCAGAAATCTGACATGGTTTTACTGGGTCACAACCAAGGTGTTACAGAAGCTCTAAGGGAGAATCTCTTCTCTTACATTTTTCCACCTTCTAAAAGTCTGCTCTTATGGCTATTCAATGAGGGGATTAGGCCTCCCCCTTTATCAAAGAAATATCCTTTTCTTAAATGCAATTGATTACAGATGTTAACCTTATCCATAAATTTCTAGACTTTTGTTTAATTGAATAACAGGGACTCCAGCAAATCCAAGTTGACACATAAAGCTAGACATCACAGTCCACCGTTTGTCCTCTTGGCATTCACACATTCCCTCAAACCACACTTAATCTGCAAATTAAGTATAATAAAGTCACACTTCCACCAACTAACCCTCATATGATTGAAAGTGTATTGATCCTTTTCCCCTACAACAAAGCAAAGTCATTGGAGGGTATTCTCTCTTTTCCCTGAATCCTGTGATTTAAATGTTATGATACAAACTATTAGTACCACATGTTATGGTTTCTGTGTAAGATATAAGACAAGAAAGAAAAAATCTGACATACATGTGCACACATGCATAATCATATTCATAACAAATAACGAAAATGCTAGAAATAATTACATTCCTTATTTATATAACCTGTGAAATGGCCATCCTTAGCATTTTTAACACCCTTCTCACTACCCATTCCATATTTTCTTTGCACTCTGAATGCACCTCAGCCAGTTGTGGTTTTTTGCCTGGTGCCATGACCCAAACCTTCACTCTTGAAGGATCTGGGCCATTACTAGTCTTGCCTGAATTGGGCTGTGGCATTTTTCCATTTACTCTAATGACAGGGCATGGTAGTTCTACGAGATGCCCCATGTATTTCCTCCATTCTGAGCATATCTTTTCTCACCTTCATTGGTAAGGAACCTGCCAATTTCCCCCTTGGTAATCGGGATCAACCCAGTACGGTCACCGCTTCTGGGTTAGACCCACGAAGAGCCCAAAGTGGCCAGGAGGTATCTTCGCGTAGTCATCCTTGTGTCTCCTGGTGGAAGCACTCCTACTTTTGGAAATAAGACCACTAGGACAACAGAGCATAAGGTTGCAGTGATAAG